TGACTTTCCCAAGGTCCCACATTAAGTCTGTGTCTGGTCTGGGAACTGAACCCAGCTCTTCTGAGTTCCAGTCCAGTGCCCTATCCAGTAGACCATTGTTCCTACCCTGTCAATAGCTTTTAGACTTTCAAGTACACTGGGGTCCTGGTCCATAACCCAGGGCTCCTAGGAAGAACAGTAATACAAATAATCAATAATAATAGGTCAGTGTTTTTCAACCCTGGTGAGGACACAAGTAGAATTTGGAGAGAACAAGTAACTGCTCACTGATCAGCACTCTACCAGGGGTTTGCTGATCAGCACTCCACTCCCCTCATCAAACAAGCTCCTCAGCATTGCTGTGGCACTGAAGACTGCAACTTCTTTCCCGCCTTATTGTGTGAGAAAGAAGAGCAATGAAATCCCACTGATGCCTCCCCACAGCTTGGAAAACGAGGACAGAGACCGGAACTTTCCCTTCTTCATGCAGGTAGCCACAGGAAAGGGAAGAGAGCTCAACTTCTGCCAAGGCAGATGCACCACAGGAATTTGTGCAAAGGAGACAGGCAAGTGGGGTCACAGGAAGAAAAACGTGGCCAGATTTTGGGCTGCTAGGGGGAAAAAAGTTCAGCACCACTTCCTACAACCAATCTGATGTGTGCAGCACTGAATAGCTGGAAGAAAGCATACAAGGCCAGAATAGGATGAAAAGCTCAAATAAGAGTCAAATTTTAAAGGGGGTATTTCCATTTTAAAGACCATGGTTGATGTTTTCCAAGAAACATAACTAATTTCTTTTCTTAAATGCTCCAATTAACAGTCAGACTTAGGAAAAATGCTAAACTACAAGATCATGACATTCTGTTTGAGGAGAAGTTCCTCAGCTTTGCTCAACCCACTTCCTTCCCCCCAATTTTTCCCCCTATACCAAATATACACTTTAAAGACAGAGTCCTATTTTAAAGCATATTTGATCATTTTCTGGAAGATTTAATCTCTTTTAGAGTCCCCAGCTAAAAGTTCAGAACTATATATTGTAGTCAGCTGCCCTGAGGGCATCTGGTGGTTTATATAATTCTCAGAGGCTCTCTATCTGTTTTGGAGATGTTTGCCGTCTTTAATAGGCCTGGAAACTCCCAAGAGCAAATTTTTCCTTTCTTGGATAAGGTAGGAAACAGGTTAAAGGTTGTAGGGTAATTAATAACTGACTACAGACTCCAAGTACTACACTAAACGTAATAACCCATGGGGATCAAAGCTCAATATTAGTTAAGAAATGATAAAGGCTCATTAGATCATCTTTTCCATCTCCCCGTCAATGCAGAAAATAGTATTCAGATTGAGGAAGGACCCGATATTCAACTGCCATTTGTTTACTGAAGAGAAAAAATATAAAATGTTTACTTTAAAATTGGCAATAAGCTTCTCTGTGACCTTAAGATGCACAGCAGTAAGGATGGTCACACATACACCATGAGTTTAGCCTCTAGTTTGTCCAAACCTGGTACAGTTGATTTGTTCCTGGGGATACGTCTACACAGCAACCAGGCACCTGCATCTGGCCTGTGCCAGCTGACTTGCGCTCGGGGCTCTTTCATTGCTGTGTAGGCTTCAGCGATGGAACCCGGGCTCTAGGATTATGCGAGGAAGTCTACCCAGCAATGAAACAGCCCGACAGCCCAAGTCCCGCGAACCTGATTCAGCTGGCACGGGCCAGCCACGTGTTTTCCTTTGCTGTGTACCGGGTGTTTAATAGGAGACTGATACACCGCTATGTGTCCTCAGAAATCCTAATTGAATCCCACTCATATTCTTCATATATTACTGCTGAAAATGAAAGCTGAATTTCAGCTGATATCATGCTGACTTGAAACAGTGTCACTGATGGGCATAGAGCCAAAAGGACAAAAGCTAAATCAGTGAAATCACAGGGCTGATGAGAGGTAGTTCAGAAGTGCCTCACTGAAACCAGACAAAGCCCCTCTGGGTGACTACAACATAAAAGCTAGGGAACGTTGACTGGTGTGCAGGGACAGAGTCAAAGGAACTGAGGTTAATACCTTAAAACTGGATGATGAGCAATAATTTCTGTAGGATTCAAAATCTAAACTGGACAAAGCCAAAACCACCCTTTGTACTTACGCGTTCGAGCGTCTGACATTCCTAGGAGTTAAATGCCCTAGGGCCGATAAGTGTCCTGCTGAAAACTATTTTAGAAAAAGTACTTGCCCACTGAGATACTAAGCAGTCATACAAGAAAAGAGTGGAAAGCAAGGGAAATAGTCAGAAAGCAAATGAGAGAACAAAGGGGGAGAGAAATAAAAGAAAACAGGAAAAGGCCTACAAAGTAAGAAAATTCTTTCAGTGAAAAAAGAGAGGCAGAGAGACAATACACAAAGGATAATGTAAAAATATAAAAAAAGAAGAAAGGGACAAAGAGGAGAAGGCTAAGCAAATGAAATGAAGAAAGGAAAAAATGAAATAAAAATTAGAGACATGAGTTATGGAGCATTCAGGCTGGTGACTTGCACATCTTGGGCTAGACACTCATGTGGTAAAATGGCAGAGATCCACTGAGTCATGCCAGTTATCCCCACTGAAATCAGAGTGAAGATCTGGAGTAGGATGGGGATAGATAGTCAGATAGTAACAAGAGGTAAAGAAATGCCTATGAATTATATTAATTAATTAAACTGGATACATGTCTCATCAAAATCAGCACATGCAGAGCACCTAGGAAATGTGCAGTCACAATCATAGTGTGAGAGCACATCCTACTTTATTCCATAATCATCACTGTGGTACATTGTCGAGATAAGACAACACCACACTTATCTGTGAGTCACTGTGTCGCAATGCAATTTAGTCCCCAAATCTCTACCTCTGTTCAGCCGTTGATTACCATATTAAACACCCATCTCTGAATAATACAGACAAATGTCAAACCCTTCCCCCCCGCTCCCCCCCCCTTTTTTTTTTTAAATCTGTGACTCTAGTACTCATAAAAGTGAGGGAGGATTTAACAGTGCTGACCAGTGTCAGGCATAGTGCAGGTAACTATTCAAATCTCCCCCCAGATAATTCTGCCAGAGCCTGCTCCCCTCCTCTCCCCACCCTGACTTGCAGCACCCTTGCTTTTCTACCTCTCTGTTCTTTCAAGCACAGATCTATCAACCAATCTGATGTGTGTCATGGATTGCAAAAACCCCAGCCTGGATTAGGTCAAAAGGGACAATCCACTTCCTTCATTTGTAACCTTGAGCATAACCTGAACCTACGCCTCTGGAGGTGAAACGTCGGTGCCCATCTAGCCCTGCCATGAGAATATAAACAATTTCTTTATCCTTCTAATTATTACTACTACTACTGAGGGGGAGGGTCATATGCTCCGTAGCTTACATAGGCCTAACTTTTTGCACACACCAGGGGTTCCTTACATCCATCCATTCCCTTGCCCCACAAGCTCCCTATGGGTCACACTCCCATCCTCCTCTTTTTCAGGGACTCCCCACAACTTCTCCCAATCTTCCCTCTGCCATGGGTTCTATGTAACCCACTATCTCCTTTCGCTCCTACGAGGGCTTCCACCAGCCTACTTTCTCCTTGCAGGGTGGCCCCCACAGCCACTCCGGTCCCAAGCACAGCTCTATGCACACACCAATACATAAACTCATCATGACAACCAAGTGCAGAACGTTACAAGCTTTCATAAAAGACCTCACTTAACATAGTTTATACACAATACGACTGTAAACAACCAGTTGATTCAATTGCTCATTCTTTGGGGTTCAGACCCCCGTTCTCCCCATGGGGTCTCTGGACCTTGTCACAGTAACACCACAAGTTGTCTGTGCCTTCTCTCTGTGCGCTCTTCACTCATTCCAGGGTCCTCCATTCTCCCAGTGTCCCCCCCATTCCACTCACAGGAGGGTGCCCCATTCTCCCATGGCAGTGGCTGTCTGCCCCCCACATTCCCACCATGCTAGGGTTTCTGTACGCCTCATTCCAACACTTCCCCCACAGTAGGGTCCTACAATCTGGGCCCCCGCCATGGCAGGGACCGTGTGCATGCTTCCATGAACCCCCCTCCCTCCCTTTCTGCCCTGCCCCAACTATTCTTCTTCTTTATTTCTGGGAGATAAGTCCTTCAGGGCGCCAACATGTTAAATTCCACTGGAAGGATGAGCAGGGATGAGACGGGGAATTGTTTTGCTAGAAGGCACTAATAAGTGCCATTGACCAGTTGTTTGATCTACAGGCAACTGCAGAGTCTCTAGAGGCTATGGCGGTGCTAGTATGATAGCAGGGGCTTTGTGGATTCCCCATTATGCCCCTTCTGGTCTTCAGATCCCCCCATCCAAAGAATAAGGTTCTAGCTACTGATGCCTAGAACATTCCCTGAACTTTGGAATTGATCAGACATGGCATCTGAAAGCAACCATTTTATATAGAGAGAAACCAACAGAGAAATGCCCTTGAGGTGAGTGTACGGCTTTCACAAGCTCGGCCAATTGTTTGTATTACAGCAGTACCCAGAGATCCCTAACTGTGCTAGGCGTTGTACAAACACATGATGATGGAGCTCCTTCCCTTAGATAAGTCAGACAAGTGGAATTTTATTCCTCCCATTTTATAGATGGGGACCTGAGGTACAGAGAGATTAAACAACTTGTCCAGGGTCACACAGGAGGTCTATGACTGAGCTAGGAATTGAACCCACGTCTTACGAGTCCCAGTGCAGTGCCTTAACTATATGACCATCCCTTCACATAGACCAGTGGTTTCCCACCTTTTTTCATTTGCAGACCCCTCAAAAATTTCACATGGAGGTGCAAACCGCTTTGGAAAGCTTAGACAGTCTGCGGACCACAGATTGCAAACCACCGTTTTAGACCATCCTTCCAGTAAGTTATCCTCAAGTGTCACAAGATCATCATTTATATTTATTCAGCATATTACTGATAGACAAATGTCCTTATACTAGTGCATTAGGAAACATCCTGTACAAAGACAGTTTTTACCTTAGGATCAGCAGTGAGCAATTTGAATGCCTGATAGACTTGTGCTTCCTTCACACCTCCACCAAGATCCAGGAAGTTGGCTGGCTTTCCACCATTAAGGGAAATGATATCACAGGTTGCCATAGCAAGACCAGCTCCATTCACTGTAATTGTAAGAGTCAGGTGGTGATATTTTACAAAAGGGAATTCAGACTTGTGAAATGTGATACGGCACATCAGCTCAAGGCAAGGACTAGTCCTAAAACTTCACTTATTTCCGGCTCCATTTGATTTGTTTCAAATTAGGCCAACACCTGAATTTTTCAGGAGTGACTTAGTAGACATAAATGAACAAAATCATATGAAGGTTTCAGAGTAACAGCCGTGGTAGTCTGTATTCGCAAAAAGAAAAGGAGTACTTGTGGCACCTTAGAGACTAACCAATTTATTTGAGCATAAGCTTTTGTGAGCTACAGCTCACTTCATCGGATGCATACTGTGGAAAGTGTAGAAGATCTTTTTATACACACAAAGCATGAAAAAATACCTCCCCCCACCCCACTCTCCTGCTGGTAATAGCTTATCTAAAGTGATCACTCTACTTACAATGTGTATGATAATCAAGTTGGGCCATTTCCAGCACAAATCCAGGTTTTCTCTCTCCCCTTCCCCCCCCCCACACAAACCCACTCTCCTGTTGGTAATAGCTTATCTAAAGTGACCACTCTCCTTACAATGTGTATGATAATCAAGGTGGGCCATTTCCAGCACAAATCCAGGGTTTAACAAGAACGTCGGGGGGGGGGTAGGAAAAAACAAGGGGAAATAAATTACCTTGCATAATGACTTAGCCACTCCCAGTCTCTATTCAAGCCTAAGTTAATTGTATCCAATTGGCAAATGAATTCCAATTCAGCAGTCTCTCGCTGGAGTCTGGATTTGAAGTTTTTTTGTTGTAATATCACAACTTTCATGTCTGTAATCGCGTGACCAGAGAGATTGAAGTGTTCTCCGACTGGTTTATGAATGTTATAATTCTTGACATCTGATTTGTGTCCATTTATTCTTTTACGTAGAGACTGTCCAGTTTGACCAATGTACATGGCAGAGGGGCATTGCTGGCACATGATGGCATATATCACATTGGTGGATGTACAGGTGAATGAGCCCCTGATAGTGTGGCTGATGTTATTAGGCCTTGTGATGGTGTCCCCTGGATAGATATGTGGGCACAGTTGGCAACGGGCTTTGTTGCAAGGATAGGTTCCTAGGTTAGTGGTTCTCTTGTGTGGTATGTGATTGCTGGTGAGTATTTGCTTCAGGTTGGGGGGCTGTCTGTAGGCAAGGACTGGCCTGTCTCCCAAGATTTGTGAGTGTGTTGGGTCATGCTTCAGGATAGGTTGTAGATCCTTAATAATGCGTTGGAGGGGTTTTAGTTGGGGGCTGAAGGTGACGGCTAGTGGCGTTCTGTTATTTTCTTTGTTAGGCCTGTCCTGTAGGAGGTGACTTCTGGGAACTCTTCTGGCTCTATCAATCTGTTTCTTCACTTCCGCAGGTGGGTATTGTAGTTGTAAGAATGCTTGATAGAGATCTTGTAGGTGTTTGTCTCTGTCTGAGGGGTTGGAGCAAATGCGGTTGTATCGCAGAGCTTGGCTGTAGACAATGGAATGTGTGGTGTGGTCAGGGTGAAAGCTGGAGGCATGTAGGTAGGAATAGCGGTCAGTAGGTTTCTGGTATAGGGTGGTATTTATGTGACCATCGTTTATTAGCACTGTAGTGTCCAGGAATCCAGTGGATCTCTTGTGTGGACTGGACCAGGCTGAGGTTGATGGTGGGATGGAAACTGTTGTAATCATGGTGGAATTCCTCAAGGGCTTCTTTTTCATGGGTCCAGATGATGAAGATGTCATCAATAGAGCGCAAGTAGAGTAGGGGCGTTAGGGGACGAGAGCTGAGGAAGCATTGTTCTAAGTCAGCCATAAAAATGTTGGCATACTGTGGGGCCATGCGGGTACCCATAGCAGTGCCGCTGACTTGAAGGTATACATTGTCCCCAAATGTAAAATAGTTATGGGTAAGGACAAAGTCACAAAGTTCAGCCACCAGGTTAGCCGTGACATTATTGGGGATAGTGTTCTTGACGGCTTGTAGTCCATCTTTGTGTGGAATGTTGGTGTAGAGGGCTTCTACATCCATAGTGGCCAGGATGGTGTTATCAGGAAGATCACCGATGGATTGTAGTTTCCTCAGGAAGTCAGTGGTGTCTCGAAGATAGCTGAGAGTGCTGATAGCGTAGGGCCTGAGGAGGGAGTCTACATAGCCAGACAATCCTGCTGCCAGGGTGCCAATACCTGAGATGATAGGGTGCCCAGGATTTCCAGGTTTATGGATCTTGGGTAGTAGATAGAATATCCCAGGTCGGGGTTCCAGGGGTGTGTCTGTGCGGATTTGATCTTGTGCTTTTTCAGGGAGTTTCTTGAGCAAATGCTGTAGTTTCTTTTGGTAACTCTCAATGGGATCAGAGGGTAATGGCTTGTAGAAAGTGGTGTTGGAGAGCTGCCGAGCAGCCTCTTGTTCATATTCTGACCTATTCATGATGACAACAGCACCTCCTTTGTCAGCCTTTTTGATTATGATGTCAGAGTTGTTTCTGAGGCTGTGGATGGCATTGTGTTTCGCACGGCTGAGGTTATGGGGCAAGTGATGCTGTTTTTCCACAATTTCAGCCCGTGCACGTCGCGGAAGCACTCTATGTAGAAGTCCAGTCTGCTGTCTCGACCTTCAGGAGGAGTCCACCTAGAATCCTTCTTTTTGTAGTGTTGGCAGGGAGGTCTCTGTGGATTAGTATGTTGTTCAGAGGTATGTTGGAAATATTCCTTGAGTCACTTTAGATAAGTGGTCACTTTAGATAAGCTATTACCAACAGGAGAGTGGGTTTGTGGGGGGGGGGGGGAAGGGGAGAGAGAAAACCTGGATTTGTGCTGGAAATGGCCCAACTTGATTATCATACACATTGTAAGCAGAGTGATCACTTTAGATAAGCTATTACCAGCAGGAGAGTGGGATGGGGGGAGGTATTTTTTCATGCTTTGTGTGTATAAAAAGATCTTCTACACTCTCCACAGTATGCATCCGATGAAGTGAGCTGTAGCTCACGAAAGCTTATGCTCAAATAAATTGGTTAGTCTCTAAGGTGCCACAAGTACTCCTTTTCTTTTTGCATCATATGAAGGGTGTCCTGTATAAAAAAAAAAACTTCTAAGAAAAGGGATTTCATAATAATTAAAGGTTTCAGAGTAGCAGCCGTGTTAGTCTGTATTCGCAAAAAGAAAAGGAGGACTTGTGGCACCTTAGAGACTAACGAATTTATTTGAGCATAAGCTTTCGTGAGCTACAGCTAACTTCATCGGATGCACTCAGTGGAAAATACAGTCAAATAAATTGGTTAGTCTCTAAGGTGCCACAAGTACTCCTTTTCTTTTTGATAATAATTAAAGAGGATTACGCACCACACATGTAACTGCACATAAATATCCCCCTCAGAGTAAAGAACAAAAATTATTCTTAACCCAGCAGAAACACAAAGTAAAGTATCCTTCACTTATTACTGATCCCATAATTCCCCTGCCACACTTACAAACCATGTCTAATTTCATTAACCTTGGTAAGACTAACACTGCATTACAAAATATTTTAAAACTGAATATTCATTTTAACAAATTTGTTCAAATCATGAAATTTTCACATGATGTTCAAAAGGGGGAATGCTTTCTTCTATTAAAATGTATTTTGACACACTGGCATCCCATATCCTTTGCTACTTTAAATGCTGCTAGTGTTGCAAGGACATTAGCTCATCCGGGTGAGATGAATCAGAATGGTTTGGTACATTAAAGTTATTGCTTCTGTACAAAGTAAGTCTTTTTATATCACATGTAATTTTATGCAGGTTTCTACTGTACAGAACAGAACCATAAGGATCAGGGCTCGGGCACTGAATACGATGTTACTGATGGTTTAATGAGCTACACATTTTTTTAATGTTAGTTCCTTTAAAAGATGGACACGGCATTGGTCTTAATGCAATGAATTGGTTCTACTGCAACCTGAGCATCTTTCAAATAACTGGGTAGAGCATAAATCTAAGCACTATAAACTGTGGGCAGTAACAAAAGTTACCTTACCTCCATATTCCACTCCTCCTCCTCTAGAGGATAAACCATTTTAGCTAATTCGGATCAAAACGATGAAGTCAATTCTTTTCAGAATAAAATGTTCTGGCTTAAACAATTTACATGCAACTGAAAATGTTTTGCATAATGATTTAAATATTTCATCTATTTTACTTCTATGAAAAAAGGAATTTCAGCTAAAACAAAGGTTTCAGCATAATGCAAAATGTATTAATTACTATTTGACAAGAGAAATATTGAGATGTCAAGGGAACCAAATTTACATGGTGAGAAACCAAAGTTTAAATCCAGTTTGATTTTGTTTTTTAAAGTATTTTCAGATTTTTTAAAATATATATATATTTTTTCTGAACCCATTGTTGATACTTAGAAGGGCCATCCGGGCTAACCTGAGAATAGCAGCACTAACCATGCACAGGCTTACGTCTCAACCTCACCCCTCTTTTTAACCTATGTGCGCACTCCTGCCTGCTGCTCCTTCAATTTCAGCTTCCCGTTTGCTGTTGCTCATACTGGTATTCCCTATCACTACTATTACCTTCTTACAGAATTTGGGGAAGTGCAGGCGACATCAGCAAAACAATAAAGAGGACTAGTCACTCAAAGTGCTGTCAAAAAATACAATGAAAATCAAAATACACAAATTAAGCAAATTTTACAAACTGAGAAAGTATATATTTGTCTTTAATCTCTTTCTGTCAGAGTAATGCTGACAGAACGGGTGGGAGGGATAGCTCAGTGGTTTGAGCATTGGCCTGCTAAACCCAGGGTTGTGAGTTCAATCCTTGAGGGGGCCATTTTGGATCTGGGGCAAAAATTGGGGATTGGTCCTGCTTTGACCAGGGGGTTGGACTAGATCACCTCCTGAGGTCCCTTCCAACCCTGATATTCTATGATTCTATGAATGCTCACTATATGACTAAAAATCAACCAGTTAGCTAACAATCTTAGGGTTCACTTGTAACAGTAGATACAGTGTCATCAGATGGAAATGTGATTTTTGAATTGTGGTGTCACTTTAAAGAGTTCGCTGGTAATAAAATAGGACCGGATCCTGAAAACACTTAAGCACGTGAATAATTTTATGTATTTAGATTATTATTCTATTGTAAATATTTCTGATAATACTCTCTGTAACTGACTGTAAACAGAAATAGGTTAGTCAATTGATATTGAAAACTCTGAATTGTTAATTGGTTATACCAAGATATTGACGAAGACAGATTGCTTTTCTTACCAAAGCAAGCAATGTTCCCATCCAGTCCAATGTACTTTAAGTCATATTTGGCAGCTTCATTTTCTATAGGCTCATTCTCAGACTTGTCTTCCATGGCAAATATCTCTTTTTGCCTAAACTCGGCATTGTCGTCAAAGTTTATCTTGGCATCAAAGCAAACAACTAAATGAAGGGGGGGAAAAACATCAAATTACAGATACTGTATGGTATACTGAATGGTCATTTTGAATTCAGAAATTAACTTCCGCATGTGTAATGTCACACAAAAGTGCAATATTCTTTCATAATTATGTACGAAGGCCCTGATTCTGTTTCCATAGTAATCAATAGCAGTTTTGGAAAGCAGGACTAGGGCCCTAAAACACTTTTTCCAAAGTCCAGGCATGGGTGATGGCACTGCAAGCTTCCCCACACAATAATGTCATGGTGTCCTAAGTTATGGGTTGTGGAAACCACTTCTAGAGGTAGGAGAACAGTTTGTGTTCCATGCTCATTTTAACTGCCCCATCCATAAAGATGTCAGTTATGAGGGTGGTTTTCATGATCTGGAGGATGGCGTGGATTGCACCCTCAGCAAGTTTGCAGGTGACACTAAATTGGGAGGAGAGGTAGATATGCTGGAGGGTAGGGATAGGATATAGAGGGACCTAGACAAATTAGAGGATTGGGCCAAAAGAAATCTAATGAGGTTCAACAAGGACAAGAACAGAGTCCTGCACTTAGGACGGAAGAACCCCATGCACCGCTACAGACTAGGGACCGAATGGCTAGGCAGCAGTTCTGCAGAAAAGGACCTAGGGGTTACAGTGGACGAGAAGCTGGATATGAGTCAACAGTGTGCCCTTGTTGCCAAGAAGGCCAATGGCATTTTGGGATGTATACGTAGGGGCACTGCCAGCAGATCAAGGGACATGATCGTTTCCCTCTATTCAACATTGGTGAGGCCTCATCTGGAGTATTGTGTCCAGTTTTTGGCTCCACACTAGAAGAAGGATGTGGAAAAATTGGAAAAGTCCAGTGGAGGGCAACAAAAATGATTAGGGGACTGGAACACATGACTTATGAGGAGAGGCTGAGGGAACTGGGATTGTTTAGTCTGCGGAAGAGAATGGGGCGGGGGGGGGAAGGATTTGATAGCTGCTTTCAACTACCTGAAAGGAGGTTCCAAAGAGGATGGATCTATACTGTTCTCAGCGGTAGCAGATGACAGAACGAGGAGTAATGGTCTCACGTTGCAGTACGGGAGGTTTAGGTTGGATATTGGGAAAAATTTTTTCACTAGGAGCGTGGTGAAGCACTGGAATGTGTTACCTAGGGAGGTGGTGGAATCTTCTTCCTTAAAAGTTTTTAAGGTCAGGCTTGACAAACTTGATTTAGTTGGGGATTGGTCCTGCTTTGAGCAGGGGGTTCGACTAGATGACCTCCCGAGGTCCCTTCCAACCCTGATATTCTATGATTCTATGATCTGTACAGTTGTAGTGACCCCAACAAATCATTTCATCTCTGGGCTACTTCCCCATGGCCTCCTCCCAACACCTTCTTTATCCTCACCATAGGACCTTCCTCCTGGTGTCTGACAATGCTTGTACTCCTAGGTCCTCCAACAGTACGCATTCTCTCTCAGCTCCTAGTGCCTCTTGCTTCCAGCTCCTCACACGCACACCACAAACTGAAGTGAGCTCCTTTTTAAACCCAGGTGCCCTGATTAGCCTGCCTTAATTGATTCTAGCAGCTTCTTGATTGGCTGCAGGTGTTCTAATCAGCCTGTCTGTCTTAATTGTTTCCAGAAGGTTCCTGATTGTTCTGGAACCTTACCTGTTACCTTACCCAGGGAAAAGGGACCTACTTGACCTGGGGCTAATATTACTCTTCTGTAGCCATCTGGCCCGACCCTGTCACAACACACATATATACACATGCACTACACATTAAATAGCTCCATAGTAGATAAAGAATATAACTGGAGAAAAAGTTTATTTTACAGTCTATTTGGTTCCTTGCAAACTCTTCCTTTAAAGAAATTAACAACAGCTTTAAGTATACATTAAGCATGATCAACACATAACTTTTTATAAATAAAGAAAATGGGAAAGTACATACAGGACTTTTCTTCAACTTGAACATCTGTTGTGGTTGTAAGAAAGCAGTAAACTGCAACTAAATAGGATTATATTTAATAATAGTTATGGACTATTTTAATTCTAAGGGTTAAAAATGAGTTTACTATGAACGGCTATGATGAATACTGACTGACTACTTTTATGGATTTTACAAAGACAAACATCTTAATAGATTAAAAAATGTGATAGTAGAAATAAGAATATATACAAATTACTTTATTATTAAAGCACTAATGACCTGTGGTTTGGACATTTACTAAAAATTAATCACTGGCTAAAGCAATTGATGTTTTGCAGCAAGCCAGCCAGACTAACTGCCTGGAAACCATTGATGCTATTACTATAATATAAAATTGATAGCAATGTTTGTCTGTATCTATTGTTCTTCAGCTGTGTCTTGCCACTGTTGTGTGCGCACATGCACATACACATACACACAGAGCAAACGAAAGAGAATACCATATAGAAAAGTATTAGTCTTACTTCCTGAAGGAAAAGTTTTGTTTTAATTCTTTTAAATACAAGAATTTGCTGCCCTTGACTCACAATCAATACTGGAATAAATTACAATAGATCAAGACCAGTCTCAGGTACTTCAGTTTTGGAGAACTACTTACAAGTGTACATGTGTGATAAATACCCCATGGAAGATTCTAGATCTTACCCTATAATAAATACAAATTATGCAAGTATGTCATGTGGGAATCTGCTAGAATAAGAAATATGTGAAGTCAATAATATTCTTTCCAATGTACTAGTAATGCATTAATTTTTGTTAACAATGAATTAAGGCCTATACCAGCATCAGAACCATACAACCAATTTCCCATTTCAAATGTTACCTTGATTATTTAATAAAAAGACCCAGAGGTAGAATAAAATGCAGTTTTCAGAGGCCCTTGGTTTTCCATTCTAAGTTTACCTTAGACATAAACATTTTCAGTGTCACATTAATGGAATCTTATTTCTCTGGAACATTCATCTTTAACAACAGGCCACACTACGTATAAAGTAGCAAGAAAAAACACCTATTAATATTTATCAAACAATTTTCACCATCAAAAGCACATTGTTACACGCATGATAGATTATACAAATGAATTTTCCTTCTGAACAAATATCAAAGAAAGCTTCAATACTTATATTCATGGAGAGTTTTTGTTGTGTTTCCTAGTGGTAAAAGATTTGGGGAGTTGCTAATTCAACAGCTTACACTGAGAACAAAAAATGAATTAATAAATATTGACAGTTATAGGCCTTTGACTCCAGAGTGTTAACAAAGGAATGTGTTACAATAGGAGACAAAAGGAAACACACACAGGGCAACACATTTCATAACGGAAATGCAGACATAAGTGAAAAATAGCAGCAGCAAAAAATAAGCAAATTTGAATTGTTATTTTGACAAGAACAAACACTCTTCATGTGCTGTGCTGTATTTTATCAGGATGAATAATTGCAATAAGCTATTCAAATGTGCCTAGACACACAGAGGGGTGTGGTGTGGGGTTTTTTGTTTGTTTTTTGTTAAGTTTTTAAAGGATGAAACGCTGCGGGCATCCTCTGCTGTGCACAAAGCAGAAAATGGGCAGAGGGAGAATTCCATGCATCTTTGCCACTCTGGCAGTTTCTGCAGGCACTCTGCTCCTGCTCCCCTGCTATACTTACCGGGTATGGAGGAATAGAAAAAGTGGTGCGGCAACTGTGACAATCCTTCCGAGGATGCCCTGCTTGGCAGCCTTCTGTACCCTCAGCCATTCCTGAAAAGCTCAGCTGATTCCCCAGCTACATCAACTCACCTCTCCCCCACTGCCCTGAACCTCATCAGTGAAAGGTACTGACCTGGCTCCCCCCATCAACCTCCCAGCTACAGAGCATGATCTGTTCAAGAGTACCAACACCTGCACTTACTCATTACTTAGCTTCCCGATGCTCCTTCTACCCCATCGCAGAACCTACGTGCTACCCTCACTCTTTGCCCCAGCTCCAAGTCAGATGTGTCCCTACAAGTATCAGACACTGGCCTCTCTGCTCCCACATGCCCATCAGATTTGGGCACGGGCTGAGCCTTTTATGAGTTCTCCATCTCTGTTCTTGACTCTAGCAGCAGAAAGTTCATACAGCGAAAGTCGAAACATGCAGCAAACTCTCCCTGTGCAGCCATCCACAGCTTTGGGCCTGTTTCACATGCAGACCCTGAACCAGAGAATTCGGCCCTTAACGTCCTCTAATTTAAGTGAAAAGTTTCTAATATATTAAAAAAAAATCTTTAGTATGCAAACGGCATATTATTCGATAATTGAGTCCAGCCTGTTACCAGTCCAGGATTATTCCCCAGTATTTATTTCCTTGTTTGAAGATACCGTGCCTCTTTAAAGGTCTGATATGATTAGGGTGACCAGATGTCCAGATTTTATAGGGACAGTCCCGATAGTTGGGAATTTTTCTTATATAGGCACCTATTACCCTCCTCCCCCGTCCCGATTTTTCACACTTTCTATCTGTTCACCCTAGATATGATAAGCCCTGTTCATCACAATCCTATTGTAACAAAGCTGCCACTTCCTGAGCAGTCTCTTGTGGCCGGAGTTCCCTTTGCAGCAGCCTCCCTCTGTTCTCCATCTTCAGGGCCCCCTATAGCCTCTCTCATAAGTCTTACCGCCCTCCGCTTGGGGCAGGTTTAATGCCCATAGACCATTCCAAACAGTCCATCACTGCCACCCAAAGATTCCTACTTTTCCTACTGGCTCTTCTGCCATTCACATGGAGCTCTTCACAGGGTCACTTCTCATAGCTCTCTCCCCCCTGGAGGTTGGCCTTTTGGCTCTGGCTTCGGCTTCCTTCTCTTGCCAGTGTCTCCCCATTCTGAGGGAGAAACACTCCCTCATCCAGAGAGCTCCTCCGAATAGCAGGAACAGAGGGGAACCCTGCCCCACACTACACTACAAGGCTCCTAATCCGGGGCCTTAAAAGAACAGTGTTCTGGGGTTTTCCCCCCATCCAACCCAAAATTCCCCGGGACTGCAGCCTCTCTTCTGTTAC